TACGTTACGTAACGTAAGTAGACGACTACTTACGGTTAGGTCGTAAACAACTAACTAGTACCGTACCGTACTCGTTCTTTCGTTCTACTACGTCCTCCCTCCTCCTCTCTCTCTCTCTCTCTCTCTCTCACTCTCTCTCTCTCTCTGTACTTATTCCTTTACTACAACCTTGCCACTATAAATGACTTGTATATGGACTTCTGTTGGTCTGTAGGAAGTTAGGAAAACATATAAAGAGACCATTACTTTTAATACAAGGATGTCATAATCACTCTTTCTCAGATTTTAAATCGGGCGGTTGTGAGTGTGCAGACTCAAAATTCAAAAAAAATTATTAGACTATGTAATATGCTCCAAGCCATCCAATTTGAGATCTAATGGCTAGGAGCAATTGTGACTCCTTATAATAAAGATTAATGGTCTTATAGTATACAGTCCATTGAAATTAAGGCTTTCTTGCTCTTTTTTATGTTGTTTCTCATTAACTCCCTACGGATTTATTGTTGCAAGGATTGACAATCATGTGTTTTCCAAGTTATTGTAATTTCTTTATATTCCATAACTTTCTGAAAAAATATGTGTTCCAACTATAAGATATCCTAGACCAAAATCCTTTTAGAGTGGATGATAGTTACTCATTTAGGGATTTGATTTACACCTTAGAAATTCAGAGTGTTCCTTGTTCCTTTTCTAGCAATCCATTGAGAATGGGATTTTTATTATTGTCTAACTTGTTATAACGTGCCGTTATTAAAATTGATGTTGACTTTAGATGTTGGGCTAATATTGCTGGGCACTTTGACATGGGCAATTCATAATTTACACCCACGTTTATTTATTTATTTATTTATTTTGACAATGTTACATAGGAATGGAGCTTGAGATGTTGGGCTATGAAACCCTATTCTCTATCATCTTGACGCAAGCCCACATTTCAGTTGATCTCACCCAAAAAATGGCGAGGAATACGATCACACTGGTGCAAATAGCAATTCACTATGGCATGATGATGACATTGTTTAGATTGTTAGGAGACCAATTTGGCACCTACGGGGGAGCAAAAAAGAAGAAAATAACACTATTTTGGTTATCCTAAGTACCATGTTTTCTTGTAATGGTATATTGGAAGCCTATATTTTCTAATTATAGAAAGTTTTGGATCTTTTCATCCTTCTTTGTTTTCCTTCCATAATTTTCTGAAGGAGACTATTGATGCTGTTGGGTTTTTATTTTGATTTGTTCTTCCTTGTTGACTAATTATTGTTCTTATATTTAATAACTTGAGAATATTATTCAGCCGAAGCAAATTAGCGAAATCAAGGATTTCCTTCTCATTGCACGCCGCAAAGATGCTAGATCAGTGAAGATAAAGCGCAGTAAAGATGTTGTTAAGTTCAAGGTCAGATGCAAGAAATATCTTTATACACTTCCCGTGTTCGACTCTGAGAAGGCCAACAAGCTCAAGCAATCCCTTCCTCCAGGTACCGACTCCTCATAACTTGAAAGTAGTTTTTTATTCTTATTTTTTATTTTTCTCTGATTTGTTCCTCAATTGTCTTCCCTTGTGTAAGAACATAGAGTTATTTTCCTTTCTGGGTTTGTTCCTTGATTTGACTTCGCTTGTGTAATGAATATTATTTAGAATTATCGGGGATTGCATTGTTCATTTGCTGAATTTTAGGCCTATTTTTTTGTTCAGGTTTGATGGTTCAGGACTTGTGAGCTTTTCCTCCTCCTTGATTGAGGAGTTTTTCAATATATAGGGCTTTAATGTGAAAGTGCGGTTTTTTTTATTGGATCCTATTTAAATAGTGACATTGTTATGGGAGTTTCAAATTTTGGTTGAAAGCAAAGAAGTGGCACAGTAGTATCTTAGTTTGATTTCACCTTCCCATAATATATGGACTTAAGAATTGCCAGGTGTAAGCATGGATTCACACTGATTTTCTACCTTGTGAGGCTCTTGTGATATTTTCTTTTTCCTGGAATGTTACCTGTAAATCCCAAATGCACATACTCCACAATGAACGGTTGAGAAGAACTGCTCCAGATAATGATGGGTTTGAGCAGAATGGCATTTTATCTCAACCATCTGTTGTTGAGTAAGGAGTGTTTAAAAAATCAACTCGTTTTAAGGTACTCGGCACTTGGAGGAGCCGAGTTCCTCGGATCAGACTGTGTAACTCGCCACAGTTTGATTTTAGAAAATAAGAAATCTAACTCGCCCGAGTTCGCCAGGGAGGTGTGTTGTGCTGTCATAAGTGGGGGCTCACGCGTGGTTGAAGTTGCTGTCATATGGCAGGCAGAGGTATTATTGAACTTTTTAAATCTTTTCTTAAGGTTGCAAATCCGGATTATATTGAAAATGCATTCTTGAAAGTTGCAAATCCGTTGCTATGGAGCGTTTTAAATGTATTCTTAAAAGTTTGCAAATCCGGATTATATTGAAAATGTATTCTTGAAGTTGCAAATCTGGTATCATATGGAAAATATCCCGTTTTTAAAAGAAATGGATCGGTGGCGTGGTCGATTTTGTTGTGACGTCATGACATTGATCCATCGTCGGCTTTTTAAATGTATTCTTAAGGCCGCAAATACGGATTATATATGGAAAATATTCGGCTTCTAAAGGAAATGGATAGGTGACATGGTCAATTTGCTGTGACGTCATGACATCGATCCATCATCCATAGGGCTACGCGTGGTAGTGGTTGAAGTTGCTGTAATATGGCAAGCAGGTACAATCATGATCTTTTTAAATGTATTCTTAAGGTTGCAAATCTGGATTATATTGAAAATGTATTACGAAAAATATCCGGTTTTTAAAGGAAATGGATAGGTGACATGGTATGTTGCGACGTCATGACATCGATCCATCATCCATGGGCCCCCGCGTGGTTGAAGTTGCTGTAATGTGGCAAGCAGGTACTATAATGAGCTTTTTAAATGTATTATTAAGGTTGCAAATCTGGATTATATTGAAAATGTATTCCTGAAATTGTAAATCAGGTGTTAAATGGATAATATCCGGTTTTTAAAGGAAATGAATCGGTGACATGGTCAATTTGTTATGTCATGGCATCAATCCATCATCCATGGGTCCGCTCGTGGTTGAAGGTGTTGTCATATGGCAAGCAGGTACCATAATGAGCTATCTAAATGTATTCTTAAGGTTGCAAATCCAGATTATATTGAAAATGTATTCTTAAAGTTGCAAATCCGGATTATATTGAAAATGTATTACTAAAGCTGCAAATCTGGTATCATATGGAAAATATCTTGTTTTTAAAGGAAATGGATTGTTGACATGTTAGATTTGTGATGTCATGACATCGATCCATCATCCATGGGGCCTAGGCATGGTTGAAGTTGTCATATGGCAAGCAGGTACTATCATGAGCTTTTTAAATGTATTATTAAGGTTGCAAATCCGGATTATATTGAAAATGTATTTCTGAAGTTGCAAATCCGGTATCATATGGAAAATGTCGGGTTTTTAAAGGAAATGGATCAGTGACATGTTCGATTTGTGACATCATGACACCGATTCATCATCATGGGGCCCACATGTGGTTGAAGTTGCTGTCATATGGCAAGCAGGTAGTATCATGAGTTTTGTAAATATATTTTTAAGGTTGCAAGTCTGGATTATATTGAAAAATGTATTCCTAAGGGAAAAGGATTGGTAACATGTCCGATTTGTGATGTCATGACATTGATCCATGATGTCAGCATGGCGTGTTTGCACAGTTAAATCGCCGAATCTTGATTTATGCTTAGATCCGAGATGGTTTAACCGATTTTCAATCTGGATCGTCCGATTCTGGATCATATCATCGATTTTTTAAACCTTGATTGAGAGTATATGTAATTCACTTTTTATATACTCCATGTGTAGGATATACCTTTCCGATTAAGGAAATCTTGTCGTACTACATATCTTATAGACGTTTGGATACATTACATGTTCATCCTGCTATCAGTTCTCGTTCATGGATGATCTTATAGACGTTTGGATACATTACATGTTCATCCTGCTATCAGTTCTCGTTCATGGATGATGGAGATGAATGCTTCCCCTGCCACTATTTGCTGAAGCAGGGAAATGGTTTCATTGCTCAAGATTAGTTAAGAGACTAGTAGTTGGGAATGCATGTGGTGTAGAAAAAGTATGCCGCACATTTGCACATGGAATCCAATATTTACACACCAATGATTGTTTCCCATCAGTACTACACCTATTATGTTGTTTGTATGCTGCATGTTGGTCTCTGCCATTTTCTCTCAGTCGTGGACAGTGGAGATGAATGACTCCTTGTCCACTTTTCATTCGAGCAGAGAGTTGGTTCATCGCCATTCTCTTTTTCAAAGTTAAAGAGACGGATAGAGGAGACTACGTATAAGTACACAAATAACATCAGATATCTACAAGTATGTGTACATTGTACTCCATGTTCACACGAACATCTTCATATACTTCATTGCTTCACTCCCGCTTCAGAAAAAAATGCATTTTAGTTATGAGTATACAGCCTCAGCAAAGAAATAAAAGAAGGGATAGATCAGCTTGGTTTGGTTAGAAAAGAAAAAGAAGAGGACAGTAAATGGAGTAAGAAGAGGGGAGAGGATTGCACCCAACAAAAAAAAGCCTCTAAATAAAATAAAGAGGGAAATAAAGAATGAATCAAATGACTGAAGAAATGTAGAGAGAGTGTGGGAGGGAGTATCCCTTAGGGTACATGATGCTTGATGATGGTGAATGAGAACTGCGGCTGGCCAGTGTCGGCGTCACAAAAGCCCCAAATGTGCACAGAATCGTCCACTTCAAGCACGACGACCATCACAAATTTGAACCAATCCCTTTTTATGATATAGCTTGGCCAATACTTTTAGAGGCAATATGATTTCTATCTTTTTCATTCCAACCCATATTCCAGTCTCCAATTCTGAATTTACTACTAATTCCCATTCATTCTCGTTAAGAAATTTCTTGATCCCATGTTCAGCATCACATTTTCAGCGATTTGCTTGCGTATAAGGAACCTATTTTGGTATTGTTTTAAATCACTCACAATTAATGGCTAGGTAAAGAGTTTCTAAATGCCAAGATGTTTCTTGGGAGCCCAGTTCTCGTTAGTCACTAATCTCCATTCATATTTATTGAAAAGACATTTAATCTCTTGGTTCCTGTCACTGTTGAACTGCTTAGAGCCTCTCCTCACATCTCTCTTAATTGAATTTTTGGTGGAAAATTTAGGATCCAAAACAGAATTGGCTATAGTTGTTTTCCTTCTTTTTGCAAAAGATTCCCCACCCACCTGATACTCACTCTTAGTTGCTGCTTTTGGGCAAAGTTCATGAGTGACATAATGAAGCTCCAGATCATTTGATTTTTTGGTAGAATGATTAGGGTTCAAAACCAAATTGGCAATGGTTATTTTCCTTCTGTTTGCAAAAGAATCATCATCCACATCTTGATAATCACTCTCAGTTGCTGCTTTTGGGCAAAGTTCATGAGTGACATAATGAAGCTCTAGATCATTTGATTTTTTGGTGGAATGTTTAGAGTTGAAAACCGAATTGGCTATGGCTGTTTTCCTTCTTTTTGCAAAAGAATCCTCGTCCACCTCTTGATAACTGCTTTTAGGTAAAGTTCATGAGTGACATAATGAAGCTCTATATCATTGTATTTGGCAATGGCTACAGCGGCCTCTTCGGTGTCTGCCCACCTTCGAAACTGCTTATCAGACCACCGCGTTGCTTTCTTACAAAACACTGCTAACATTTGCATGTTGGGTCAGAATTGAGACTTCTCTCTTTCCTTGTTAAGAACCCCTGCCAAGAAAACAGGAAATGCGTTGTGGAACTTTCAAGTACAGGGGCAGTTAACAATTTCAAAAATAAATCTATTCTACTGTACGGGGTATTGCAAACTCATTAATATCTGAATCATGTTCTTTGCTATTGATTCTACAAATATAAGTACCTTCCATTCCATATGATCCTAAGATTCCTACCTCTATAGTCTAAACCATTGCTCACAAAATCGAACCGGAACATTTAACTGAAAATGGGCCTGGAAGCGGTTTAACCAGCCTAACCGGTAAATCGGCCGATTCAACCGATCTAACCGGGCAAGTCCGGGGTGGTCAAAAAAGTATTGACAAAAAAATAAAAAAATATACAAAAAGATATATTAAAATATGACAAGCATATAAAGAATGATTAAAACAAAACACATTCAAATGAAATTGAAAATTAATGAAAAAATGGATTTTAACCCATTTTATATTTTTCAAGGGCTATTTTTAAAATTTTCTAAAAAAGATGGAAAAATATGAAAGTGAGTATTAATGACCAAAACAATTTTTAATATTTACCATAATGTAAAGAATATTTAAAAATGCATTACAAATCAAATTTCTTATTTTTAAGAATTTATATATATATTTTTGAATTTTTTTTTAAATACTGTTTGATCACCCTAATCGCCCAAAATCGAAACCGGCTATTGACCGGTTTCGATCTAATCGGGCGGTTAGCGGTTAGATCGGACGATTTTGCAAACGATGGTCTAAACTTTCATAGTTGTTAAGCAAAATGGATACAAGAGGTTAACATTAAGTAGGCGTTATAGTCATTCAACTTGAGAGAGTAAGGTGTAGCCAAGGTAAAGAAAGGGACAGAGAGAGGGACCCTCACATGTAAATTGTGATCTTTTTAACTCTAGTAATTTTTTAAATGTTTCAATCCCTTGATTGATAATTCTCATTAAATAATTTACATTTATGTCTTTTTCCAATAAAGGATTTTAGACTCATTTTATTTCAGGTTCTCTATTTGTAATGGAATATAGGGTTTCCTAGTTATTATTTTGAAACAGTAATTTATGCTGGCAAGAAAACAAGATATTTAAGATAAGCGATATAACACCCTCCAAAGC